GAATTTCTAGCAAACCGATTTTGGACTCCATTTGTAATTTAGAGCCTAATTAGATAAGACGATTCGTTTTTTGTGGTCACATCAAGCTTACAATGCGTCTGCCAGCCAAGCCTGATTGACATCGAATCACCCGATAGCGCATTCCCCACGGTCCTCTGGAAATGAGAGGAATATCTATAATTTGTTACGTGACGTCTCGATACTCTGCATTTCATGAATGAAGTCATAAAGCAAGAACATGTACGTGTTCGGTCACATGAGAGAAAAATGATTATTGTAAGCATGTTCTATAAATAGAAATTCTTTGCTACATATCACTCATTCTTGAATATATTTGTACATAAGATGCATTTAGATAAAGAATATGGGTGCGCTTGTTTGTCACTTATATATAATACACTACATAACAAAGTTAATATATCACTATTTGGAAATACTCATATAAAAGGAACATGTAGACATGTCAAGATGCACGTGGTATGTTGCTTAACTATAAAGTAAGGGAAGTAACTCCCAATAAATTTACATACTTTCCTGTAAACTAAAAAACTGAAGTTGCATCACGTATTCGGTCGCGGACTTCTGTAATTTTATATCACCACAAGTTAAAAAATGTATAGTATTTTCTTATACCTGGCACATACTAGTATTGGAAAACCGATCTGCAAAGGCGTTTTCAGTGGCTCCAACACATGACACGAGAGAACTGTAATTCTGACATTTTAATAATGCTCGATCAGTGCTAACTCAACTCCCGTCCTACAAATTACACTTTATCACACTATTGTAGCACAGACACACAATCTGTAAAAGAAGCAATTGACCAAGTAAGATTATCAAACACTGCCAGAGTAAACATATAAACAAAGATACCAATTTCAACAAAAAATAAGTTACTGTAGAAACGAGATCCCACAGGGATCTTGGCGCTTACCATTGAGCTTTACTCACTCTTTCAAAGTTGGATTTTCCCCCTTCTTTTATCTTCTCTGTTTTTGCTCTAAACGATGAGAAATTTGAACATTGCAGAAAAAGCGATGATAATCTTTACCTGCCAAATCCAAGATGGTCGCCTGCAAGCAATTTTGTTATTCTGATAAATCCCAAAATCAAAGGGGCACAACTAGAGACGAAGGGAAACCTAGATATGGAACCTGGGAGATCTCCATGAAGTACTTCACAAACAATGGCAGTAACAAAGTTTACTTGTCTTCATCCAAGATTGCCACCTGCCGGCCATTTTGTCTTTCTGATCAGACCCAAAATCAAATGGGCAAAAATAGGGATATAGGGAAACCTACATATAAAATTTGAGAGAGATCCCTTGAGTACTTCTTAAGAAATAGGGATAACAAACTTTATTCAGCGAAATCAAAAATGGCCGCCCGCAGGCCATTTTCTTTTTCGGATCAGTACCAGAATCAAACAGGCACAACTAAGAATCAAGGAAACATACACATAAAAATTTGAGGAAGATCTATGCTGTAGTTCTCAAGATTTAGTGAAAACAAATTTTAAAGTAAAAATAAAAAATCGCCACCTGTCTGTAATTTTGTTCATCTGATCAGATCCAAAATCAAATGGGCACAACCAAGGACCAAGGCAAACCTACAGGAAATTTGAGAGATCAATCCAGTACTTCTCAAGAAGTTAGAGATAACAAAAATTTATAACAGACAGACGAACAGTCGCACTAGCAGATGTAGGGCAATTTGAACGGCCCACCATCTGGTGAAGGCGAGATAAAAACAAAACCAATAGTTTTGTAAAACTCTAAATCATCAATTGCAGTTAGGGTTGCCCGATACCCTGCAATATCTTTACGACAACTGTAATGGCTATTTACAAAATTAACATAATTGTCACAGAACCATTCCTAGACAACTATATTTTGTGCTTTGGTGATCGTAATTCTTTATTATTTTGTTTACTCACCTGTTATTCATGTCACTATTGTGAACTTTCAAGTGTAGTAAAGTCAAACTTCTTTTTATGAGATAAGCAGTAGTGACATTGCTTTGTCACTAATGGATCTTTGATGGAATGTTTGTTTTGGCGATTTTTGCTGCATTTTAAATCATGTAATCCAAGTATGTAAGATTTTATTATGACAAATTCCACCACTGATCATCTCCGAAAGTCTAGAACATCTAGGCTACTATGTTAAATCTTTCCTGGTGTCTAGTTTTATGACAGCTATGCATCAGATTTGGTCAAAATAACGTGACGCAAACATACGAACAGCAAAAGAATTTTAAAGACACAAGAGCTACCACTGTCAGTATACAATGACTGTAGATGTTCCACTATGTTATGCATTACTGGTCAAAACAACAACTATCTTGTTAAGTCAAATGATGTGTGCAACACACCATAAAACATTTTAATATTGAAATGATCCCTGTGAAATGAACACCCAAATTGTATATGTTTTAAAATTGTGGGTTCCGAACAAGGTAGTATTCTAATCATTGACCAAATACCATTACCCTGAATCCTTGATTTAAAAATTTGACCCCTGTGACTTCCGTCGATGGAGGTTCTTCATTTGGATGAGCTTGATTGCCATTGATCATGGTATGTTTTGGGAAAATTGTCAAGAACCTGAGCTTTAATGTTGTCAGAATTTGTTTTGAAATTGTACCACCCATAGCTCATGTGATCTTGAATGTTGTTTAAGTCATTTATCTCTATACATCATAGTAAAGAAAATAGCATGATCTGTTTAAAACTACATCAAAATCTGGGGTAAAACTAAGCCAAGGAATCACACAAGCTCAGCTGATGAATCCAGAACATACATGTCATCTTGTCTAGACTACTTTTAAAAGGTAAATCTAAAATGACATTTTTACATCCTGGTTAATTTTCGTGCTAAAACAACAAAATATGGCTCTGGCACAAGTGTAGGAATAACATGGCTGTAGTGCTGCTTTTAAATCATCATTTAACTGCAATTAACTCACATGTAACCACCTTCAGGCTTTCACCGGTACAAACTTGTATGGTAGCTTGACATCATTATTTATGACAGTCAAAAGTTATTTACAGACAATAATCTGACAAACACCATTTATGTGACCCAACTATTTACCACATTTAAAAACAAATTTGGAAAACATGCATATTCCTCAAAATAATTCAGCTTGATTAAGCTGAAACCTGTTTTATATATCAAAGAACTGCCTAAACACCTGAACAGCTCGACTGTTTTGACACCTGTATAACTGCCTGTATACCTGAGCAAATCAAATGTTACAACACCTGTACAACTGCCTGGATACCTGAGAAAATCAAATGTTACGACACCTGTACAACTGCCCAGAGACCTTGACAACTCAACTGTTCTGACATCTGTACAACTGCCCAGATACCTTGACAACTCAACAACTATTCTGATACCTGTGTAATTGCCTGGATACCTTGACAACTCAACAACTATTCTGATACCTGTGTAATTGCCTGGATACATTGACAACTCAACAACTATTCTGATACCTGTGTAATTGCCTGGATACCTTGACAACTCAACAACTATTATGAGACCTGTGTAATTGCCTGATTACCTTGACAACTCAACAACTATTATGAGACCTGTGTAATTGCCTGGATACATTGACAACTCAACAACTATTCTGAGACCTGTGTAATTGCCTGGATACCTTGACAACTCAACAACTATTCTGATACCTGTGTAATTGCCTGGATACCTTGACAACTCAACAACTATTCTGAGACCTGTGTAATTGCCTGGATTCCTGGAAAACTCATCAATTGTTCTGGTACCAGTGCAACTGCCTGTATACCAGAACATCTGTTGGGACACTTGGACAATTGCCATGTTTTCTGAACTGCCCTATTATAATATAAACATGTACTATATATATATATTTCTTTGTGTTGCTTGAACATACAAGAGGACAGCACTTCTCATTAATTTACATACAAAATATTAACCTTTAAATGCTACACCCTTTGACTTTTACTGCTATCAGCAACAACAATTCAAGGTATAGACAAAAATATACTGTATAATCAATAACAACAACAATGGTATGTAAACAGAAACATTTTGTATAAGACCAATAACATTTTAAAAAATAACAAAAATAAATATATCTCTCAAAACCTTACAAATATACACCGACTAGGAATTTTATGAAGTTCATAAATAAAGAAAAATACCAAAGTAAACCTTGCTAGCAAAATCTAGTGAAATCTATATCCTATTTATGATGTCTTAAAACATAACTAAAATAGAAAGTGTGATAATCATCTGCTCAAATCATGATTTGTTTTGTAGTCATGAGTAAAGAATAGGCAAAAAACCTCTTTATTCTCATTGTAAACCACACACCCATTCTGCTTGGATGTTCTTCCACCAAATAAACACAAACAACTTGTTATTATTGAAAACAACACAGTCATCATGGTAATATAAGGCACAGCTTGCGTGCTGTCTTTTGAAATCAATCACATATCAGATTCATTTGTTCTAATACAACAAGTACAGACCTCTAAGCTGATCTTCATTGAAATGACTTACCAAATAAGAAAATGTCTGAGACATAGATGACCCCACTCCAAGGCCTATACTGTATCATTATTTGAAGAATTTGAAAATATTGCCAAATATGACCTCTGATTCTTTAACCTTGACTGATAAGTATCTTAATATGACATTCAGCCCTTCTTGATGTTATGACATCATAATGGTAACATGAACCCTATCTATTGCGAGGTTCTAAAGATAGAACAGTGAGTTTGAACAAGGAATGAATCTAGAGGACGGGATGGACACAGGAAATAACACAAAATGTTCCTCTCATCAGAAAAATAGGTAAAGTTTGCTTGTTCAGATTGCAAACATAACATACAGAGTTCATAGGTTTCCTTGAAAGCGTTACATAAATGCCAAGTTTGTGTACTTTTAGACAACAACATATACATTTGTTCTTTTGGTGCTTTCTCTGTTGCAGCGACCACATTAAGGCTCTCTGTTATTTGGCCACAGAGATGATGTTTGTGGAAGGCAGACTGGGTGAAATGTTGGCAGATGTGACTAGATTAACCTGATCATCATATTTCTGTGCCTCCAACTTTAGTTTATCATGGTAGGACACAGAGAGAACGGCATTGGGATTGACATAATCTGGTGTCGAGCTACGGCTGACATTATAGGTAGCCGTTATGTTACTGTTTCCATAGTATTGATATAATGATTGGGTGTCAAGAAAAAGTCCAAATGTGTCATTTCGATCAACACCAGTTTGTTTTGTCGACATGGGAGGATTAAAAAATGTTGCAGATGAAAAAGGGTCATGTGATGTGTTGAGGACACGCCCCCCAACTGTTGAATCATAGTCATAGAGAGTGGAGGTGTGTGGCATCTGCATGGACTGGTACGGAAACGTGCTGTTTGACTGATCTGGAAAAGAAAACCACAAAGTTTTTCTTTCCATTAATCAGAAGAGAGAATATTTTACATTTAACTCACATCTAAAATATTGTTACAATAGATAAGTATGAAGTGTCATGTACCCTGATTAATGAGGAGTTACAATAAACATATTACCGCAGGGTACTACAAATAGGGAGGTCAAGGTCACTGATCTAGCATGAAGGCAGGTCACTTTAATGAAGTGGAAAACAGGTCACATAATCATATGAAAAGCAACACTGACAGTTACTCCAAGAGCAGAGCTGATTTCATCATTTGATCATCAGCTGACACAACTCGAGGCCCCAACATTGTATTCAAAGCTAGGCGATCGGTAAATATATATGGACCACCAGATGTCAAATAACATCATTATTTCACTTTACATTTTGAAAAGATAATCATGTTTTGACTGTCCCAATAATTGTAAGATTAAAGGTTTTAACAAACAATTACCCCTAGTCATATTTAGTCGCAATCCACTCTCCCCATACTGATATGTTAATTTTAACTTCAGCCAATACACAAGCAGAAACATGTATTTTATAGGCTTGTTTCTTCGTCAACTCCCATTGTAATGCCATTTCCATCCAGTAGTTTCCTACCCTGCTAAGACACTTTCAGACACTTTGATTGTAGGCAATGCCGACCCCGATAGCTCAAACTCTAATTTATTTTCACAAGCATAATTTCAAAACGGTTCAGGTTTAAAAATATTTTATTCATTTTGTTTGAACTGACCGAAGGTTTACTGTATTTATACCATGTACAGATATAGGCATACATTTACTTCAATTTACCACAAAACCATGTTTGGTTTCATCTAGAAAGAATCATCCACTTGTAGAAAAAAGTACAGTAATTTTATCATACATAAAATGACGGCATAATTCATAAACCTGACCCTAAACAAATGATTAAGTTAAAGAGGTTCCTACCTAGACTGGTGCTTTCCTGTCGGGAAATCCTGATGTTTTCAAAGGAAGGGAGAGCCTGGATAGGGGATGCACACACACTCTGAAGGTCAGATAGAGGCTGAAGGCAAAACTTCTTGTTTGGTTTTGATTCATGTAATGTCTTTGGTAACTCTGAAAATAAACATTTTCTGATGATGATTTCGCTCACATTTAAAACCAATTTAACAAATTTCATACAGGTGATTAAACCACCTATTACTTAATAAGTAAGTAAACAATCTGAAAAACTGTATTTGCAGACAAAAAATTTTGAATAATCTTATGTCATACCAATTTCATTTTCTTCAGAAACTGATGTTAAACTTGTTACCAAATGTAATATCCTTTGTATTATTGTTTATTGATCCTGTTATTTAGATATGGAAATGATATACTGAAATAGGAGCGAGTAAGCAAAATTTGTTCTTTCAACTTTAAAATCTAAGAAATTGATGAAAGCACATATCAGTAAAAACCTAGAAAGGGACCCTTTCCCTCATTCAGCCCTCCCCCCGCATTGCAATTTCTCAAAATTCACCAACTTTCATGATTGTATATGAAACATTATTTGCATCTCTACGTTATGTGAGATTTGAATTCTACTCCTCAGAATTCAATTACACACTGATTGTTTCAGCAGGGTACAAATCCATAATGCCATGAAAATGTCAAATGTATACATGTACAAAATATTTCCCCTAATGATTACAATTAAATGAGCAAAACACCAGTCCAGTTTTAAATCATTTAGTGCAATATTTTTTTTCCTTATCTCCACAATTACCAATTACCAAACTCCATCAAAATTTGATATTTTTTATCCAAAAATTGGACTTTATGAATGCAAATATCCATCTTGTCTTAATATCAGTTGTACACCCAATGAAGTAATTAAACACTTTAATTAGATGAATCAAGATACATACTGCTATAATATAATACTTTCTGAGAAACCGAACCAAACAAAACTTTTTAACTAATGCTGATATATAAACAACATGATGGCCCTTCACTGTAACAAGGCCAAAATCTCACCTCGCTTCAGTATGCTGGCTTCTGTTTCTCCAATTGAAAAGTTAAATGATCCTGCTTCTGTTTTTGGTGTAGAACTATCAAATCCAGTTCTGTGAAATATATTCTATTGCTCAAGCAATGTTTGTATATAAAATCAATAAATATACTGTGAAACAAGACAGAGCATTGAAAACACTAGGTATTTAACAGAATACACTATATAACATTGTGTAACTACTGAACAGGAAATATCAAATAATTAATGTATCAAAGATATAAATAATTATTATTTGTAGTATGTAACAAAGAACCATTATGAATTTACACCATGAAGAAATTTAAATGAGCAGCTCTGTTAGAAATTGTCCACCATCTTCCAATAAAAAGACACCAAATATATTTCTATACGATAAAACCGTAACTAAAGCCAATCTGATAGTAGGCAATCTATCCTAGCTACCCCCTTACCTGGATACCTAATACAACATATAGTAAGTATAAATAAATACCCAGTGACAAAACTATCCAGATTGGCAGGCTTTCAAGAAAATTCAAATTTAATGCTTACTTATCTGACTCGACAGTGGATGATACCAAGTTTGCAGAGGGAGATTCTGAAAACTGGGAACCCCGTTTGTTTTTTTTTGAAGTTGATCCTCTTGGTCGTCCAACTGTGGATGTGGTGTCCTTACTTAGCACATCAACAATCTACAACATCAGCAGTGATTAGGATTTGAAATCTCTGTAACAGCTATAAATGACATCAAAGATGAAACCATATTTATCTTAATTACTCGGTATCTGGCAATGAGTCTATAAAGGGAGACCACAATTTCAGGTGAAATTGTTCCGTCATAGTAAGCCCATACTGTTCCCCAAGCCTACATGGAACCAGAGGTTATATTTGCCCTCTGGGATTATTGCAAAATAAATGCAAAATGTATTGACATTGATGATAATAATGTACAATCGCAGTCTCCAGTATCTATATTACAAAAAAAAATTTTGTCTCAAGAAAAATTTGTTTTGTTTTTTCAACTTATATGTTTTTCATAATAAGTACTGTCACATCTTAAATCTTGTCTTCAACAATTCAGTGGTGATGGTTTGGTTCTCCACTTTTCCTGCTTTTCCAAATAAATAATTGGAACATCATGCAGAAATCAACTTGTTTCATCAACAATTTAAAACACTTCAATGGATTGAACATTGTTACTATCAACAGTTTATTTGTGACATCACCTGATCGGTGTACTGACTTGATCTTAATGTTTCAAAACAAGGTACAGATCTGGGAAAGCTCAGAAAGAAAATATATTATGTACATTGATTATGATCATACAGTTGGAGTAACAGACATTGCAAGTGTGATACAACATAATGAAAGATTTAATGCTCTATAGGTACATATAAGGAAGAAAGCATTCTCCTGCAGATACCCATTACAGACCAGCTCACAACAAATTCTTCACACCAACTATGCTGCTTGAATACATGTAAACCTTCAATGGTATCCTGGTATGTTCTGGCCAAGAATATCACTGTTTATATATACCTGTGATTGGAATTGCTGTGGTAGAGCTGCATTTACTATTTTAAGGTAGTCAACACACATTTCCAGGATGGATGCCATGTCAGTTTTGCGGCCCCTGATATAAGGGAGCAGGACCCGCAGCTGGTCACAACTGTCTTTGATACGTTCTCTATAAATATAGATATATCAATATACTTGTACATCTTATAATCTCTGAGATTTCATGGCAGCTATTAATACATAGTAGGTCAGGATTCAGTGTCTTATATATCTTATAAATGTGTCATGCCTAATTTGCAAAATAGGAATAATTTTGGCACTTAAAAAGTGCCAAACTCACATGAATGTACATCAGTATTTTTGGAATTTTACCTAATAATAATTTAATAGGATGTCTGTTACTGAAGCAATTGTTTTGTCTTCCTTTCATTTTTTCATTTTATTCTTTTATTCAAGTAGATATCCGCATCTTTTCTTTTGATGGAAATCTTGAACTGAGAGCTTAAAAGTGCTCACTTGGTTCAAGAGAAGCACTACCAAAAATTACCTGGTTGGTTCTTAGCTTTCAGAACTTTGCGAGGCATTTGCATATTTCTAAAAGATATGGCTCCTCTGAACCCAAACGTTGATGGCAATTAATTTCTTAAAGTTATAGCACTCCATGCCAGGAAGCTGTAGTTAACACATTTCAGTTCTCAAGAAGGAGTTATTTTAGAGCTATTAAAAATGCAAGGCTGCTTATTTTTACAATACAAAGAAAGCCATAGCACATCATTATTGACTAAATATATACATTGTACCTCTTGGATTTTCTACTCTTCAGCTTGTTCAGTGATCTGAACAATGTTATTAAATGCCCTTCTAATATTTGGTTTGCCAATAGATTTTGTAAAACAATTGCAAAATTTTCTCTATTACTTTGTAAGAACTTGTCTCCTGGCATAAAGTTCAACAGATCACAGACTTAGCAAAAGATTGCATAGCCAAGTGAATGCAAAGAAAATGGTTTACAGATGACAAGAATCCATTCCTAATTCCCTATGGTACCAGCTTAGTATCCTCTTTGGATCTGATAAGGCAAATTACTCTATCAGAAAACAGAACGAACTCATATTTGTATCAATTATGATGACCAGTGATTATTTCCTGAAATGATTTGTTAGAACTCTATATTAACCTCCTCAGTTTTTCTTTTGTGGTGTGGTCAGCAACAATGGAGTGCTGCCTAGGTTTGCTGATTGGTGCCTGTAGATTGGTTAGTCCTGACAGTGCACAGCTAACCTGTTCCGGGGTCATTTGAGGTGTGGACACCAAAGAATCAATGCCACTGTCCAGAGATAGGCTGGCAGATAAAATGAAAAAGAAAACAAAAAAAGTTTTATACCTTAACTACTTCAGCTTAAGAAAAAAAAAGTCAGCAAGTAGATGTATGTCTTGGAACCAGATATCATTGATAACCATAAGATTTTAATAGTTATCTATTTAACTGTATCTATCTTTAATTTTTTTTCATTAAATCCTTGATACGATCAAAACACAGAATCTGTAAAGACAACAATAACTAAGTTGTCTGATGTCTAAAATGTGCGACAACTGTGATACCTGAAGTGTGAACTATCATCAGAGACAGAGGCTGGAGTTGCAGGTGTAGCTGGAGTGTCAGGGGACATAGGGGTCAAAGGTGTAGCAGGGGTCGCTGGCAAGGAGATGATATGGCTGTCCAGATCTTTCAGACTGTCTGATTCTTCTGTAACAAGAATATGTGTACAAATATTAATTCTTCTATAAATGCAAAAGTATATTGAAAATTGTAATACATAGTAACCCTCAATACTGTGGTGTGACTCTGGTGAGTATTTTCCATTGAATGCTGGCATAATACCTCATGGGATGAATTGAAGAATTGATGGCAAGAGGCCCCTGAGCCTTAACAGTAATCTGACAATAAATTTAGCAGTAGCAGTAGTTATCAAATTATTAAAATAATCATAAATATTTTAGCATTAAAGGAAAAAAAAAAAGAAAAAAAAACATTCCTCCTTTCTGTTTCTCAACATTTCCACAAAACTTCAGCTCAATGGAATCAGTGGAATTTTGAAGTTTAAGATGTGTTTTTCAAAAATGCAGCCATACAACTATTGGATTGCTGATGACCCAAAAAATAAAAACAATTGGTCAAGACGATCTCAGAATCATTTCAGGCAAGTTTCAGCTCAATTCCACTGGTAGTTTAAAATAAGTATTGTTCATAGAAACCATAATCAAGGTGACCAGCACAAGAGGTCCTTTGGGTTTGCACTGCTCACCTGGTATTCAATGTTTTCACAAATACATCAGTGACATTTAAAGTATTTCTACAATGTATATCAAACCTTTTTAACAAAGTTTGAAACTTGCATGCTTACACAACAAGGTAAACATTATCAAACTAAAATTGATGTATCCTGTTGTGGATGGCTTAATTCAGTCAATACCAGTTATGAAATGGTAAAGCCTTTTTTTGGTCAAGATCATCACATTGAGCAAACTTTGTTTGATTATATCCCATCAGTAAAAAGTTAAAAGTAAAGAAAGAGCTTTTGGCTGATCAGAAGGTTTTTGGGTTTTTGTTGTTGGGCTTCATACCAGGAACACAAATATCATGATTCTTTATCTTTTAGTTAATCAGAAGAAATTATTTAGTGAATGATAACAGGAGCAATTCTTTTCAATAATGTAGATGTATTTTATGAAGGAGCAATTCTTTTCAATAATGTAGATGTATTTTATAAACAAACTTATGAATACATTTAGGATAATTCAATCTATAAACTATAATGAAATGTATTTATGTCTTCATCCTGTGCCTATACCTGCCACCAGCTCCACTGATGTCCATTTAGAGTACTTCTGCCTGATGGTCAGTGTGGATACTGGTTGGATGACTACCTCATCTATGCCATGAAGTCTTAAGTCAACTGCAAGTATTATAGTACAACTTGGCATTAATGTACATGTGATTTAATGGTTAAGATAATCACAAGTTGTGTAAATATCACATCATGTCAAGTCAAAAGTCATCATATTTGAGGAAGGTCTCACCAATGGTATGATCAGCACCAAGACAAAACCTAGAACTGTCATCCTATGGATATCTGGAACCCCGCCCCCTCCACTTATGCAAAGACATTACATCTTTTAGTTTCAGTCCTACTGACATCATTGTTTTTATATGAATGTACCTGTATATGACCTGTACCATTCCTTTGTAATGCCCCACCTCTTTACCATATATCCTACAGTTAATTGATTATGTGACTCCTGTAAGTCCCAACCAATAAACACAGAGATGACATAAAAAAGGGAAATCAATTGATTAGAAAGTCAATTAGATATAGTACAATATGTACAGTGGTTAAGTAAAGAACAGTTCAAATAACACCTCAATTTTAACCAATCAACGCATCCGTAGTAACAAAGCTGGAATTTGAATGCAAGGTTGAGTTGTAGGGGTTAACTAATGATGTGAATACTTTCAAATTCTTAACTGATTAATTCACATGAAGTTTTTTTTTCACATATATAAACAAAAATGCATATTACTTGATATTCTCTCAACATCATTTCTTAACTAAAGATTTTTTACTAATCTAGACATGTCATGTATAAAAGAAAATGTAATATTTGAATCAACTTTAATTTTCGATAAATTAAATACATAATAAATCACAAAGAAAAATGTTTTCTGGTTATTTTCAGTATCATATTGATATTAAGTAAGAATATGTAAATCCTGAATTATCTTTTCAATTCTCAATGAAATTATTACCATTTCCTACCATATCAGCTTCTAACATAGGCTAGTGGCACATGTAGCCACAGGTTAAATACATGTAAATTCATCTGAAATAAACTATTATCATTCTAACAACCTTCCTCTGTCCATTTTATTTTAAAAAGAGGGAAAAATGGGAGACAGCCGAAGCAACTTAGACAAAATTTACTTGTTCACTAACAGAGGTATTCAGAAGACAAATCAAGAAACATATGATTTTATGCAGTAGTAAACTTACCTGCAGAAGGGCTGGTGGAAACACCAATTAACACGGTTCCTCTGTTGCACTTACTTGCATACCTATTTATATAAAAAGTGAAGTGAGTAAAGGTGACGATGTAGAAGTAATATTATCTATACATAATACGATATCAGCGGAGTATCAAGCTGAAAATTATCTGGTTACAAGATATTTCCACCAAAAGATAATAAACTGTACATGTATTATAATGAAAGGTTATTCAATGTTCAAATAATTCACAGAAAAGTTAATAGTATCAAGCTGAAAATTATCTGGTTACAAGATATTTCCACCAAGAGATGATAAAACTGTACACTTAAATATTATTCAATGTTCAAATAATTCACAGAAAATATAATACTAGAGGTTTTCATTGAACAGTTGTGTAACAAAATTCTGCTAATCATAATGTCCTTGATTGCTTTGGGATTTCTGTTCTGGAAAATAAACATTTTTTGTCTAAAAATCTGTTTTCATGGCAACAAAAAATCATCCAAAGACAGACATTAATTCTAGGTATCAAAATGCATGACAAGTATAAGACAAGTGTAGAAATTTTTGGAAGTTGCTTTGAATTAACCTTAGAAATTTTCTAGAAACAGTAAGGTCTGTATGTTTTACCTGTATGTTTCCAGGGTAACAGAAAGTTTTCAAAATGATTCCTACAAAATAATTGTGAAATACACAACAAGAGTGACAGTTTGATCAGCGTTTTAAGTGTAGTTATCATGTTTAGCAGTGGTGTCATGTCGCTGAAAACCTGAAACATGTCATTGTGTATATGTGTATCCAAAGCAGTATAGTGGAGAAATACCCATAAATGAGAAGTTCTCCACAACAAAAACCACAATCATATTACTATCTTCAAAGTTAAAAACAGTGGTGAAGACACAACATCCCTTAAAGTGTAAACTTCAGAAAGACCTACCATGAATAGTTGGAGTTAACTTCACAATCAGAAGAACCAAGGATATCCAAACCTGAGTGAAGACAACAAAACGTGTCAATGTAATGTAATTGTTACAGGAAACATGGCTTGTACCATATTGATATGGTTTTACCTGATTGATGTAGTAAGACTAAGAATATCTTGTCCTGCAGGCATGGTCATCAGGAGCCATATCAGGAGATAACTTCTGTTGTTACACATCTCAAAGGCATCCTCCTGAGTGCAAGTGAGAATCTGGTGATCTGTGGTCAAACTGGAAATCTGGCTATATAGAACCGAGGTGTCTGGCTCATTCCCCACCACCAAGGACAGGTGGGATCCATCTGGGGCCTATAACAACAACAATTAGAGCAATGATGGTTACTTTACAGTGTCACAGGAGAAAAAAACAAGAACTACAGCTGTAACAGTAACCATATATAAAATGAAAGTTCTTATACACAGCCACATATACCAGAGAAAACGGCTTAAACAAGAAATGTAATTGTTACAGAAAACATGGCTGTTACAAGAAATACAGTTGTCACAGGAAACAAACTGAAACAAGATATAAAAGCACTGCCTTAAGTAGTGCCAAACAGAGCCATGCTGTAAGTAAGCCTAACAAAAACACTGTGGGTCTTGTTATAAAATTCTGATGATCAAAATATATATCATGTTCTATTCTGCAGTAAGTCCATTGGTGGCAATTTGCTCAACCATATCTATTGCTGTGGTTGGACAGAAAAAGTGTACGAATAAATACTCAATTATCATCCCGTAATATGCTCACTCCATTTTTTGACTCCGAGGCAATGCATTTTTCTACCACCTATAACAATAATTGTAAAATAAGTTTCTCCAGCTTATATTAACCACTCGTTGGCACAGAGATAAGCAGATCAAGGGTCCTGTGAAAACCAGAGGCCAGACAAGTGACCCTAAATTTAATTTTCATGTCCATTTCGGGAATCAAATCACTGAAGCTTTGGTGAAGGTACCACTAAACCACCTTCACATACTCCTCTGTCCATATAGGATACATCTCTCTTTAGTGTAATACCCAATTTTCAATTTTTAATTGTGTGATAACTGTAATCCTACAGGGGTGTAATATGAGTGCAATTTCAATGTGATGGTACTTGTCATCTTCTGTTCAAAATAAATCAGTACACCAATTCATTATGAACAGATTGCAGTGTTCTTGAAATTTAAGGTATGCCAAAGGTATACCATACTTGTGATCTTTTCCACAGGCACTCGAGGCCAGGATATTATTTTTTAAACATTGATTTTTGTTTTCGCAGTCATGACTGACGTTATTTAAACGAAATATCAGCAGAATTCAAGTTGATGTGCCGGTTGACAAATCCGAGGTCCACGGTCATTAAAAATACACTTTTAATGACCGTGGGCCTCGGATTTGTCAACCGGCACATAAACTTGAATTCTGCTGATATTTCGTTTAAATAACGTCAGTCATGAGTGCTAAAACAAAAATCAATGTTTAAAAAATAATATCCTGGCCTCGAGTGCCTGTGATCTTTTCATATATTGATATACTTTATAAGGCTATAATTCAGCAATGTTTCCCAAATTTAATATGTTAAACACAGTGATATATGATATTCTGATATACCACTTAAATATTTAAAATGTAGATTTCTAGATCCTCAACTAAGATAATCCACATTCATAGAAAATATATGAAAAATTATCTGGGCAAAGAAAAATAACCAAAATCAATCTCAAAACTGGTCAATAATGTTTCAGTTGCTTACGTGTTTGTTTTGACTACTTTACTGCAATAAATTAAACCCTTCAGGAATCTTTATCATAAATATTAGAGTCATATTGAAAACATCAAATTTACCAGGTTATATAATTTTATGTTTGGCAAGCTAAACCCATATTCTCGTATATTCTTGACACTGTTCAACCTGAAAACATCAAGCCCATTCCTCCCCCTCTCCTTTTTTGAGCAATCTGACTTTACAGGGTACTGTTAGTTTTTAAAACAAATTAATTTGCAAAATATATTTGGGTGGCAGTATAATTCATTTTTGAAATAAAATTATCAGATATTTGGTGAACAACATGTATCAGATACAGATCATCAATAAGTAATTTCCTGATCTTGTTTATATTTTTGTCCTCATTTTAAATCCAGATTTTGGTAACAAGTCAAATTATCTTGTTTTCTCTAAAATTTGTTTTATACAATGCAAGCCAATTAGCTCTTTCACTTCCAGTTTGTTATTCCAGACCATGCATTTGTCTGCAGAGATTTGTTAACCGAGAGTCAATATCATGAAGGCTTTTATGGTCAAAGCAGATCTGCTGAAATACCCCAACTGGTTGACTTGAACAAAGAAAAAACGATAAAGTTGAGTAAAATAGTCACATATGGCTATGTCAATCATTATCTCATTCCTGGTTGATTGTTTCCTTAAATGTATATGCCACTCCTGTTATTATCTGGTTACGTCCCCATCTTGATTAAAGAGTGACATCTAGGGAATGGATTTTGGGAGGTAAGTGATTGAGGACGGGGTGATTAGCAAATAGTCTAGATGTGTCTACTTGTAAGTTTTCGCGTATTGCAGAACTATGTCAGCTAAACAGTTGACTAGTTAGTGAAAAAGGGTTAGGGGTGATCGCTGTGGTGGAGTTGAGACGAAAATAGCCAAACTCAAAAGTGGAAGTACAGAGGCATAAAACGATGCCTCTGAATGGAGACATATATAACACATTATATATGTCTGCTCTGAATGAGGGGTTACATACTACACAATCGTCTCGGTTTCATCATCGCCCATCAGTCATGATTGAATTCGATTTAGTGCAACTCGTGAAAGGCGCACGCCTGGGTCTGATTGCAAAAAACCGACGCAACAACAATCATAACAAATAAATTCGTACGTCATTAATTCATAAACACCTTTTCATCTTCTCGTTTTGATCTCTTCTTTGCTTGTCGACCCATATCGTCGTATCGGCGGATAATGCGATTGGCCGTTGGCGTGCTCACGTAATCGCAATCTCGATTCCGAACACGGGCGCATTCGGAACGTGGTGTTTATCTAAAAGGTCAGCCAGTATTCCGTCCAAATTCGGGAGCATTCGGAGACGCAGGGACATATAAATGATTCAAATCACTAATCAGATTTCCATACAAAATCGGCATACATGACAACAGCATAAGTCATCGCAGTGTATCGATCAGAGTCGAGGTACAACAATGCTTAAGTATGAACTTTGACCTTGTAACCTTGATCGATGGAGATCCTTTGAGCTTGTGGCTGATTAGATATGCTTATGCCTGCTGTTTCCAAGCACCTACATATGTAAAACACAAATTAGAAACCACCAATTCTTTCCGCGAACTATAACAGATAGGAACCACCTACCACATGACACATTAAAGACGACACTTACGAAATTAAGTCAAATCAAGTCTTTCGTCTATTTTTTGTTACTATTCTCTCCAATGGCTATTTGCATGTACCATCGAAATGACAGTCTTCAGCTTGTTGAAGGAGGTTACTAAGAAGTAGATATTTTAAAGTTACTTTTTGGAGAATAATTAAAAAAAAAATGTGTTATAGCTTTGTGTTAAAGTTTGGATCAAGATCGTCTGACATCATAAACCGATGGAAACAACAGAAGGGCTATCACTGAAAAGTTATTTTCCTGTGAATCTGGTTATTAGTTTGAATCCAATATGCGTAAGGAATGCCACGACACAATAACGAGACGGGATACCGCGGACTGTATAATGGAGTTATTGCAGTCTTCGTTTTAGATTGAAATAGATCTATGGCATTAGGAAAAATTGTGGCTAAAACATTTTAACTCGCATGAATCCCAGCGTAAATCTGATATATTTTATTTTAAAACTGTTGGAAAATGCTCGATTTCGCATTTATGTCTCAAAATAACCTCCAGGAAAGGTACCCGCCATCCGGAATTTCCTTCCAAACCAAGAACACCTTTTGAACCTATATCCACTAAGTATAAGCTACATTTACCTCAGGTTACTTACCGACCAGGAAAAAAAGTGAGTGATCAACATCACCTACACACCATTCCTGGTAAGTATTCACAAAACCCGACAAGTGTTCTTTTTTTGTAAAAAAAATCTCCTTGGTGTTCATAAAAATACACCAAATTGTGGGCGTTAAATTTTAACCAGGAACATATCCAATGACAACTTACAGGATAACTGTTACGCCTTAAATTTGTTGAAAGGTGAATATCATTGTTCTATAACTATTAACGGCGGCCTATAGAGAGGACTTGGCTGGGATGCACAGATTGTTGTAGTTGGTTTATTAACAGCGAGGATGTTATTTTATACGATTACATCCCCAAACTGTCTGGGAATGTCTAAACACAGTCAATACTTTCACGAGAAATTGTAAATATAATATATGTTTTTGGATATATAACAGATTTATGTCCCTCTTGCTCGCCGATAAAGCAGGGAGACTTTAAAAAATGCAAAAAATTGGCTTCTTTGACAGCACAGAAAGTGTGGTGTGTATATTGTTGGCGGGTTCGTTAACTATAGCTCCGGACATTTTTACGTGTCTTCTGCACAAAAGAAAGGGTTTAGTTGCTAGATTAAAGCATAGCTTTTTTAAATCGATAGGTATTGAAGACAAATGATATATAACACAGAAGCATATGACAGCGTTTCTCGAGAAGGGAGGCTTGTGTTGTGTTCTATATATATGTCTTCCCCTGATATAGATATTTTGAAAGCAGATTTCCGTAAATCTCCTAAATATTTCTAAACCAATCACTTGTGTTCTTTGCGCGTTCACAGACTGTAGCAATGTCATCAGAAAGCAGAAATGAGACCGACCATGTTTATAATCACAGCAACATAAACACGAATTTCAAGTCAAATTGTATTCATCGCTTCCGGAGGTGTGAGAGTGTCTGTATCTTATTTATTCGTTCTAACAAATGGTGAGCTGTTAAGCTCAAAAGAATAAACGACGTTGACCTTTGACTACCTGCCAAACACCACTCTCTGATGCACTGTTTCATGAACAAAACATTGCCTTTACATGTCCCCATATCTGGGCGGACTATCATGATCTACTGTGACTGGTTCAGAAATGATGTATGACAAAGTACAGTATTGAAGAAATTCAAAGACTGCAAAAAATTGCAAAAGGATGTAAATAAAGGATTACTAAGCTGTAGATAGGGACTTCATGGATTCGGACCAGTAATCATTACCACCAGTAAGTATACCGATGACTTTACCGATCCAACTCACCCACATATCTGTTGGACTCAAAGGTCGGGGAGTGCATATGGGGTCATCGTATACTTCTTCCAGGCATAGTAGTGTATCACTACTGAGGCTGTCATTTTCGTCACAGCCGATATTATGACACGTTTCCTTAGCAACGTTCTTGTCCGGTAAGGCATTGGTACCAGTCGCCAGGGCACGTTGTGTGTTACTCTGTTGAACACTTACATTCCTGTTTTTCTGTGCACCTTTGCCGACGACTATCGCTCGTTTACTAGTCCCTTTCTTGTATCCATTGGAAGACGACATTGGTGACCCTGTGGTTGAATGTTGTACACCGGTTACATACCTGTTGATTGAGATCAGCTGTGACTTTTACCCAATGACCGAGGTACTCGATGGGGGTGAATATATACCTTCAACAGTGATAATGTAATCTTCCTCAGTTTAAGTTACATTCTTTTTTGTTGTTGTATGTTAAGCGACTTGTTTAACTCTAAGGTAAATCCAATCTCCTCGAGGTGTCAACTTTAGTGCATAGATGTTTTGCAAAATTTTTAATTGTACATGACCAATTCCCTTGATCTAACCCTGTCACCCACATGGAAGAGTTCATTGTACGAGGTGGACGAAACCATTGATTTTCTGGTCCGTTACATCGGCAGCTAGTTACAGTTGACTGGTTTATGTACACAGGAAAACGTCGTTGCATGCACGTGGTGTTTAAGTACACACATATCCGTATCCGTTATTTTCGGTTCATCTGGTCCGAAGGACTAGTCAGACTGTGCCATGGCATGTAGTCCATCGTCCGTTCGTCGTCCGTCCAACCTTTTTCATGAACGACTGAGCGGAGTTTGACAAAATTTGGCAAAAAGAATCCATGAGAGAAGGGAAGCGTATTTTATGTAAAGGGTGCCCCGCTCCCCCACCACTTCGCCGTGAGTGGCGGGGCCCAAGTTCCCCAATATGGGGAATAAAGTAAATCCTTAAAGATCCTACTCCTCCTGTAGAGTGGATTTTGTCCAAATTTGTCCAGATTCGGTCGGAAGGATATTTGGGTGAAAGAAATCAATGTTGTATAAACGGCGCGTAGGGAGGGGCCCAATAGAGGAGGCAGAGCATTGAAAAAAATCTGACTTCTCCTGTTGGAATAATTAGATTTTATATAAATTTCATGTAAATGGTGGATCTTGGCCCCTTATGACAGGGCGGGAAAACCTCAATAGGGGGAATTGGTTGTATCTTGGAAACATTTGAGATCCCTACCTCATAACTATACACATTAATAATGTTAGAGTGGGCAAGTTGGTGTGGCTCTAACCCACTGGAGTTAATTTCTGGGTTATATCTTTGAAATAATTGAGATACCCAACCCCATGACCATAATATAGAATTGCTTGGCTTGAAGAGATAAACACATTCATGGTGCACGAATTGACCATTGGGTATGTCACACCTCTTGGTGACTTAATTTCTGGATGCTTGAAACAGTTACGATCCCAATCCGATAACTTTATAAACTCTTAGTGGGCATCAATAGAGCTATAAGAATGTCCTCATTAGTTTTGCGGTACCAAAGAGGTTAAGTGATTTAGATGTAATTTGGAAATGTATGTCATTGCTAGGCTTTAAGATCCAGGTGGGCGATACATGCACTATGGCCTCTTGTACAGAGAGGTTTTGTTACAAATCTATGACTTAAAAATATTGTCAACACATAAGTGTATCCGTTGACCCATTTTAACCTTGACAAATGCCACCACTCAGTAATATTCAAGCGTAGAATTTATTATATAATGGTACCATAATATGGTGCAAAAATAAAATAAAATGTGTCGATTATGTTCAATCTGTAGGGTAAGGAATGAATTACCCTTCTACATTAGCCACTTACAATATACATGAATCATTTCCTACAACGCACGGAATTGGAAAGATTTCCAATCAAGCTGTATTATAAATGTATTGTTTCAGATTTCGCTGTAGTGAACTTTCTCTTTCTAGATAGTAATAGGACCTGTTTCCACAACGTGCGTTTAAATATCGTAATTGGCACGATAGTCATTGAATCCTGTTCCTACTATCACGATTTCCGTGAAAGATATCGGACAGAAAAAAACAACAACATAGGGGTTCGAGGGATGAAAAAAAAATATTAAGACGGGAAATTGTCTTTTTCCAGGTGGAACATGAATATAAGTGTGTTAGTATGTTTAAATGAAATATTAGGTCCTCTTTACGATACAGGCGTGATGACAGGTGGTAACAGGATATAATTATTTTTTACATATTGTTATTTATGTTTTCCTAACTTCGATCTGTTGTTATTTTCAAGTCAACCTATATAAAGATTTGTTTTTCGATAAAGGTAGTAAAATGATACTTAAACAATATGAAAAGAAGAGTAGTCCATCAGTAAATTTCTTCACTATATCATATCATGCGCCCTATTTCTGCTAAGTAGTACAACTGTAAATAACAAAGTATAAAAAAAACCACGAATGTCTAGGACATTTCATACATAGCATTAAAGAACGGAGTAATGTGCGGTCTAGGGGAGGTAATTATTAGAATAACGCATGGTGTTTTTTTACTTGGCAACAGTTACATATGACAAACTCCCGATATAAAAAAAAAACAACAAAAAACAAAAAAACAAAAACGGCATGTGCGTGTCTTTATGGAGAAATATGAACTTGATAACATGATAGATG